TGTATGTTAGACACACATTTCTTAAATTTGATACCAAAACATAATCCATAAAAGAAAAACATAGAATGAATTCAACTTTATCAAAGTTGGAAACATATCCTCTTGAAAAAATAATTGAAAGTTAAAATAATTTTGGTATGATCTTCCGACTGGGAGCAGATCATACGACATCTGATTAAGGATTCATCTCTACAACATATACGTAACTTTTAATGAAAGAGAGAAAAGAAATAGAGAATTAATACTCCAGAGGCATACATTAGACACATTCATTCAAATGGCTAAGATTCCAGAGAAGATCTGTTGATACCCAGTGCCAGTAGAAACAAAGATAAATAGGACCTCTCGTTCATTGCTCATGAAACTGTACAATGACACAGGCCCTTGGAAGGAGCACAGTTTGTTTCCTTTATTTAAAAAAAAAAATTATTGATAGTTTCCACAAGTCCATTTCATCATGGCTTCTTCTTTTTAATTGATGTGCATTAATGATACATAATGGTGGATTTCACTGGGGTATATTCACATTCACATGAAAGCCTAAGTTGATTATTTTCACTCCCAAACTCTCCATCCCCTTCCTCTTTCCCCCTCCCACCTCCTACCCCTCACCCTCTCTCCTCCACCCAAATGGTCTCCCTCCAACTTTTATTGCAATCTTTCTTTTCTCCTCTAGTTTTCAAATGCGAGAGAATACTCTTTTGAATTTGACTTATTTTATTCAAAATTATGGTCTTCAATTCAATCCATTTTCCTGCAAATGACATAAATCCATTCTTATTATGCGTGGAAAAACCCCTTGTATTCTTATATATACTTACACCATATTTTCCTTATGCATCCATTCATTGATGGACACCTAGGCTGCTTCCATAACTTTGTTGTTGTAAATGGTGCTTCAATAAGCATGGGTATGACTGCATCACCAGAAATGTGCTGACTTCATTCTTTTGGATAAATATGAAGTGGTATAGCTCGATCATATGGTATTTCTATTCTTAGCTTTTTGAGGAACATCCATCCTGATTTCCATAGTGAATGTACTAGTCTACATTTCCACCAATAGTGGATAAGAGATCCTTTCCCCCTCAATCTTCATCAGCATTTATTGTTATTTGTATGCTTGATGATTGTCACTCTGACTGGAGTGAGATGAAAACTTAGGTTTTTTTTTGATTTACCTTTTTCTTGATGGCTAAAGATGTCAAACTTTTTTTTTTCTTCATAGAATTGTTGGCTATTTGTGCTTTTTATGATAAGTGTGTGTTCAATTCATTTTCCCTTTTATCCGCTCAGTTATTTGTTTTCTTAATGTTGCATTCTCTAAATTTTTTGGATATCCTGTGTCAGAAGAGTAGCTGGCAAAGATTTTCTCTCCTTCTATAGGGTGTCTCTTCACTCTGTAATTTTTTTTTTCCTTTGCTGAGCAGAAGCTTCTAGTTGGACGTCATCTCATTTACTTATTCTTTCTCTCATTTCCTGAATATAGGATATTATTTCAGGAAGACTTTGCCTGGAACTATATGTTGAAATATGGACCCATTTTTTCTTCTTCAAAGTTTCTGGTCATGATGGGGCCATTTGACAGACAGTACTAATTCTGCCTATCCATTAACATGGGAGATTTTTGCATTTTCTCATGTCTTCTTCAGTTTCTTTCTTCTGTCTTCTATAAATTGAATTACAGCCATCTTTTACCTCCTAAGTTAGCTTTATTCTTACATACAATTTTGAAGTTATTCTGAATGAATTTTTGTTAGGGTCTGTAAACAAGTCAGGATGGCGCCTGACAAATGTTAGAGTCTGTAAACAAGTCTGGATGGCGCCTGGCGTTTTGCCAGAGGGAGTGGTTTGTGAAGTAACTCCAGCGAGCCATTGAGTGTGGACATTCCTTATTGGTTGACTGCTGTATCGAGTTTATGCTAATTAGATAAGCTGTGTGGAATGTATATATACCGCTCCTGTCCTACAATAAACAGCTCCCACTCCTGCTGTATCAATGTACACAAGTTGCTCGTCACACCCCGGTTATTTTGCTGCAGCCGGACTGAGGCAAATTTTTTTTCCTGGCTTCATTCCCACTGGATTCATTATTTTATAGAAAAACTATTAATTTTTCTATGTTGATTTTATATCCTGCTTCTTTGCTTAATTGGTTTATCAGTTCTAGGAATCTTCTGCTATAATCTCTAAGGCCCTTTATGTGTAGGATCATAGCACATGAAAATGGGGGTAATTTGGCTTCTTCCTTTCCTTTTTTTATTTCCCTTTTATTTTCTATTCTAGCTTCATTGTTCTAGTTAAAATTTCAAGTTCTATATTGAATGGAAGTGGTGACAGTGGAAATCTTTGCCTTCTTCCTGATTTTAGACAACAGGCCTTCACTTTTTTAAAGTTCTGCTTTGGGTTTGTCATATATATTCTTTATAATGTTGAGGCTAAGCTCCTTTTATCCCTAGTGGCTTTGAGAGTCTTATCATGAAAATGGGTTGACTTTTGATAAAGGCTTTTTCTGCATCTGTTGAGATTATCATGTGAGTTTTGTCCTTGGTTCTATTTATGGGGTGTATTGCGTTTCCTGATTTGTGTGTGTTCCATCGTCCTTGCATCCCTGATGTTTCACCAGCATGATCATGGTGTATGGTCTTTCTATGTGTTGTTGAACTCAGTTTGCTAATATTTTATTAAAGATTTTTGTATCCATGTTCAAGAATATTGGTCTGTAGTTTTCTTTCCTTGACATGTCCTCATCCAGTTTCTGTGTCAGAGTGATACAGGCTTCATAGAATAAGTTTGGAAGTATCCCTTGTGTTTCAATTTCATGGAATAATTTGAGGAATCTTGGCATTAGTTCATTTTTTAAAATTTGGTGAAATTCAATTGTGAATCTAATTGATCTTGGACTTCTCTTTATTAAAAATCTTTTATCAAGCTTCAATCAAACTGTTGATTATTGCTTTGTTAAGATTTTCTATTTGCTCTTTGTTTGGTTTTGTTAGGTTATATGTGTCTAGAAATGTCTCTAGTGTAAGTTTTCATAATAGTCCCTAATTACTCTTTGTATTTTAGTTGTTTCTGTTCTAATGTCCCCTTTTTGTCCGTAATTTTATTAATCTGGGTCTTCCCTCTCTTTCTTTTGATTACTGTGGGCCAGGGGTTATCAACTTTTTCTCAAAGAAAAATCACTGTGGGCCAGGGGTTATCAAAATTTTCTCAAAGAACAAACTGTGTTTCATTGATCCTTTGTATTGCTTTAAACTTCTATTTCATTAATTGTAGCTTTAATCTATATAATTTCTTTCCTTCTATTAACTTTAGGATCAGTTTGTTCTTATTTTGGTGAGATCATAAGATGCAGCATTGGGTTGTCTATTTGACATCTTTCTCTTCCTTTTTCATGACTGTAAACTTTCCTCTTAGAAATGCCTTCATTGTATTCCAGAGATTTTCATATATTCTATTTCCATGTTCATTTCGTTCTAAGACTTTTAAAATTTTCTCCCTTAATTTTTAATAACCCAGTCATTATTTAAAATGCACTATTAAATATCTAAGTACTCATGTGATTTCTGTAGTTTTTCTTGTTGCTTATTTCATTCCATTGTGATCTAAAAAAAATGAAAGATTCTTCCTCTCTCTCTCTTTTCTTTTCTTTCATGGTGCTGGGGATTGAGCCCAGGGCCTTGTGCATGCAAGGCAAGCACTCTACCAACTGAGCCATATCCCCAGCCCCTCAATATTTTTTATTTGCTAAGATTTGCTTTACGATTCAATATATGATCCAATTTGTTCCTTAAGTGGTTGAAAATAAAGTCTGTTCGGCTGCTTGTTACATGGAATATTCTGTAGATCTCTCTTTAGGTCCAGTTGATCTATAGTGAAGTTGAAATCTTATGTGTCTTTGTTGATTTTCTGTCTGGATGACCTGGTGATGAGAGAAGTGTATTGAAGTCCCACACTCTTACTGGGGCTATCAGTCCCTTTAATGATGTGAAATCAGGTGTACCAACATTGGGAGTATAATTATTTATAATGTTTTATCTTCTTGTGAGATGGTTCCCTTTTCCAATATGTAATGACCTAATTTTGTCTCCTTATTTGGGCTGGAAGAGATGAGTGTGCCTGTTCCTGCTTGCTCTCAAATTCATTTGCATAGAATATCACCTACGGTCCTTCTGCTTTCAACCTGTGAATGTGTTTGGCTGTGAGGTGTGCCTTTAGGAGACGATGCACAATCGGGTCTCACTTTTTAATCCAGTCGTTCCGTCTACGTCATCTAATTAGAGAATTAAAACCATTAACATTCAGTGTTTTTGTTAAGAGATAACGTATTTTTTTCTGTTATTTTGTTTTATTGCTAATATTGGGATCATACCTGATTCTTATTTGCTGATATGTTCTTTTAATTAAATGTATTCTTTCCCTGCTTTCTTGATTTATTTTTACCTTCCTCTTTTGTACCTAGTGTTCCTATAAGAATTTGATGCAGTGTTGACTTAGTGGTGATAAAATCCTTGAGTTTCTGCTCATCTTGGAAGCTTTTCGTTTTGTCTTCAATGATGAAGGGCAGCTTGGTTGGATATAGTAATCTGGCTTGACAGTTCTTCTCTGCATCCTCCCTAACCCTCCTGGCTTTCAAGGATCTGCTAAGAAATCTGCTGTTCTGATGGGTTTGCCTTGTAAGTCAACTCAGTTCTTGTCTCATGCAGCTTTTAAAATTCTGTCTTTGCTCTGAAGTTGTGGCATTTTAACCATAATATGTTGTTTTCTGGTGCCCTCTGTATGGAGATCTCAACGCCTTCATTACCTGTATGACCATCTCTTCCTCAAGATGAGGGGAATTTCCTGCTATTATTTAACGGAATAAGCTTTCTGTGTCATTAGTCAGTATCTCCTTTCCTTCCTCAAGACCTGTGATTCTTCATGCAACCTTATAATGTCGTCCCAGAACTCCTGTGTATCCTGTTCCTAGTTTTAAATGTTTTAAAATTTCTGTTGAGACCCTTTAATTCATAAGCATGATGACAGGGTGTTCACACTATGGTGGGAGATGTGCCTCCTCTAAACCTTGTTACGACATCGGCACATTACCTGTCTGACGTGAAAAAAAAAATCTGCTGAGTGTTCTAATTCATGTACTTTATCTTAAGATCCTGATAATATTTCTTCTGCTTGATCTATTCTATTGTTGAGACTCTCCACTGAGTTTTCTGATTAATTGAGTTTTTCATTTCCAGGATTTCTGCTTGCTTCTTTTTCAAGGTTACTATCTCTTCATTGAAATGTCTTTTCATATTCTATATTTTCTCTCTTAGTTTGTTCTATACACCTTTTAATTCATTAATCATTTTGATAATCATCTTTTAGAATTACTTTTTTTTTCTGATGTTTCCTCCATTTCAATATCATAGATTCAGTAATTGGAAGCTTAGGACAATTGGAAAGTATCTTATTCTCTTGTTTTCTCATGTTTCTTGTATTTCTTTTTCTTATTCTCTTTTTAAGAATAACTGTCATTGTTATTTTAAATGCATCTCAGGTAAGAAAAAAATAAATCTACTAAATCTTGCCAAAACCATACCCAGAAGGTTCTACTATGAAGATTTTTAGGTAAATGCCAAAGTCAACAGAGTATCGTAGGTTGGAGTGACATTGCTGCATTTTTTATTATCTCATTATAAGCATACATATTATTTTTCTTAAATTTTTATTAATTTAATATACCTCAGATAAAGTGTTAAATTCCAGAATATACAAAGAATTCAAAAAGCTTAACCTCCCAATAACCCAATTAATAAAAGGGAAAAGGACAGACACTAAACAGACACATCTCAAAAGAAGAAATACAAACGGCCAACAAATGTATGAAAAAATGTTCAACATTTCTAGTAATTAGGGAAATGCAAGTTTAAAACAACACTGAGATTTCAAATCACTCCAGTCAGAATGCAACCATCAAGAATATAAATAACAATACATGTTTGTTTTTATTTTAATTTGTTCTAATTAGTTATACATGACAGTAGGATGCATTTTGACACATTATACTCAAATGGAGCGCAGCTTCTCATTCCTCTGGCTGTACATGGTGCAGAGTCACACTAGTGGTATAATCATACATGTATATAGGATAATAATGTCTGTGTCATTTTACCGTCCTTCCCACCCCCACAACCCCACCCCTCCCCTCACTCCCCTCTACACAAACCAAAGTTTCTTCATTCTTCCCTATCTCCCTGCCTCACTATACACATCAGCATCTGCTTATCAGAGAAAACATTCAGCCTTTGATTTTGGGCCACTGACTTATTTCATTGAGCACAATATTCTCTAGTTCCATTTATTTACCTGAAAATGCCATAATTTTATTCTTCTTTAAGGCTGAGTAATATTCCATTGTGTATATGTACCACATTTTCTTAAAATCAGCATACTACAGTGACACAGCCACATCAATGTTATAGCAGCTCGATTCACAATAGCTAAACTGTGGGACCAACTTAGATGCCTTTCAACGGATGCATGGATAAAGAAAATGTTTCTTGTGTTTCTATGTTGAGATTTGCACATTTGCTAGGAAGGTCAGCTCTTTGAAGCACTGTTATATGGGAGTCATTTTGGTGAGATACTTTATCTTTACCATGAGTGCCAAGCCAGGGGCATGTCTCTGTCTTGAGGTGCCCACTCAACTTGTTGTGGCTGTCTGAGCTCACAGGGCCACACTGTGCTCGACAAGGGACAAACTCTGCTCTTTTCCACCCCAGGAGCAGCGTCTCTGGAATTTCTGCAATGGAGCCTGGCACTCAACCACCCATGGCTGGTGTAGCCTAGACTGCAGGGCTGTGGCGAGAGGGTGCACCTGCAGGTTCTTCTGTGGGTGGTTGGGGCACCCTGCACCCTGGTGGACAGTCAGGAGCACCCTGCCTGCTCTGCTCCATTTCCACTGCTGGTGACAGGGAGTACCCCCAGGTCCTGGCAGGGGAACAAGACAGGTGCCAGCTGAGGTGGTAGGTGCAGACCCCATGGCAGGAGGCAGACAAAAGTGATAGTGGGCTGTAGCCATGGCAGCCTTCAGCAGTGTGCTCCAGTTCTGTTTTCAATGCAGGGTCCATGACCTTCTTAAGATGGCTTCCCAACACTGTCCAGTGACCTTTTCAAGATGCCTCCCTCACGCTCCACAGTGACCTTCTCAGCATGGCTCCCCATTATTGTGCCCCATTTTTCACAAGATGGCTTCCTGTTTTAGTCAGCTTTGTTATCTCTGTCACCAAAAGACCTGACAAGAGCAATTAGTGGAGGAAAAGTCTATTTGGGGCTCACCATTTTAGAGGTCTCAGTCCACCGTCGGCCAAACCCATAGATCTGGGCCCAAGTGAGGCAGAACATCATGGTGGAAGGACAGAGCAGAGCAAAGCTGCTCAGGACAGGACAATCAGGAGGGAGAGAAAGAGAGCACTCTGCTCACTAGGGGACAATATAGGAACCCCAAAGGCATGTCCCAGTGACCTGCCTCCTTCAGCCACAGCCTACCTGCCTACAGTTACCTCCCAGATCAGAAGATTAATGCACTAGTTAGTTAAGGCTCTCTCTCCTAACCCAGTAGTCTCACCTCTAAACTTCCTTGCATTGTCTTACTTATGAGTTTTCGGGGACTCCTCAGATCTAAACCATAACATTCCCCAAATATGTATCTGGGATTGTGTACTGGAAAGTGGATCATACATCCCTGCCAGTACACCACAAGGTTCCATGCCTATTGTCTGTTAGACTGCGCCTGAGTGGTGTTGAGATACCACTAATTGTGGCTAATTGTGTTCTCTGAGTCTCCTCCCCCCACTGCCCCACTGTTTCAAGTGTCCCTCTGCATTCTGCTCTGCCACTAGGTGTTTGGAGCTGTGGATCTCCCCCATGCCCTTGTTCACCTCTGCAGTACTTCTTGGGTTTTATTTTGTTGGATTGTTTTTATTCTGGCTCCATCTATTGAACACCAAACTTCAACACCCCGTAATCCACCTGGAATAGACATTGCTCTTTAGGATTTTTTTTTTAATAATTATGCCCTCTGGAGAGACTGAGGGTCATTGGGTGCTTTCAGGTCACCAGTTCGAAATCCTCTCTTGAGGGTTTAAATACACAGACAACATATAATCCTGCAATTACATTCCTAAAGCAAATTGAAAACGAAAGTTAGTATGAAATTCTGTACCAGCATATTGTCACAGCTTTAGTTATAATTTCTAAAACTTGGGGGAAAGTAAGGTGCCTTTCAGCAAAAGAAGTGATAAAGCAGCAAGGGACATGCAGTAAATGAATTAGTATCCAATGGTAAAAAAGAGAGCAATCATTGATTCCTTCAACAACATGGGTAAAATATAAATGTATATCACCAAGTGAAAGAAGGCCACAAGAAAAGCTCTACATTGATTCTCCTCAGATGATATTTAGGAAGAGAATAAAAATAGGAAGGAAAAACATTGTCCACTATCATTAATAAGGACAGAGAAGATGGTTGACTCCCAAGTGATTTCACCAGGAGAAATTCCAGGGTGGCAGAGCTGTTCTATATGGAACTGAGGTAGGATAAATTCACAAAAGTGAACTTTAATGTATGCATATTTAGAGAAAAAAAATAGGATGCTATGAAATACCAGGATAGAAATCAGGCTATGAAAGATGGATCCACCTATATTGAAAGTATATTATACAATGTAAGAGAGCGTGAAAAGAGGTACTTTGGAAATAATACTTTGACTTGAAATTATATGTCTAAAGACAAAAAGGAACTATGCAGAGGTAATTCAATTTGAAGGGATCTATCTGGGATTATAGTTCTGGAATATACAGGCCCCCAAAATTTGGTGCCCATGTCCTGCAGAGGCCCCCTGACTGCATCACAACATGATGGAAAAACAGAAACAGTCAAAGTGCAAAAAGGTTCAAACACAGGGATGACCTCACTCTGTAACAATCTGCATTTGCAAGAGCTCACTCCAGGAGACCAACACTAATTCCTTCTCTGGGTGATGTCCTCAGTGACCTATCTCCTTCCCACTAGGTCTCATCTCTTAAAGATTCCACAGCTTCCAACACTGCCATGCTAAAGTCAGAGCTACTAGCACATAACCCTTTGGGGTACACCCTCAACTACACTATAGCAAAAATGCAGGAGTCCCAGCCTACCAAAATAATCCTGGAAAAGAACAAAGTTGGAAGACCCTTATTCCCCAATTTTGAAAGTCACTACAAAGATGCAGTATTTGAGAGAGTGGGCTACTCATACAGGATAGACATGAAGCAAGGCAAGATGACGAAGAATCCAGAAGTAAGCCCATGTGGCCAACTGATTTTTTATTAAGATCACTTAATGGGGAAAGAATAGTCTTTTCAGGACACTGCACAGGGACAATTAGATATCTGCATGCAAAAGAATGAAATTGGATGTCCACCACACACTATCTACAAAAATTATCTACTAATGGATCAAGAACTAAGTTTCAGAATGCAAATGATAAAAACTAGTAGCAGGAAGCAGAATTTTAAGTCTTTGTGATTTTTGTTAGGAAATATTTCCTACTCGTAACACCAGAAGTTTAATGTGCAAAAGAAAAAAAAAATGATATTGCCAGATCTTTTTTAAAAATTGCTACAAAAGACATCATTAAGCACAATGAATCTCCACATCATGTACAACCACAAGCCTGGGATCCTAATTAGAATAAGATATAGTCCACGTTTGTATTAAGGCACTAAGAAGATTTAAGATGTGTTCCAGAAAGGAGAGGATGCCATAGAGGATTCAAAGAAGAAAAGAACAGAAAAAAAGATTTTGGAAATTAAAAATGAATCAGTCAGATTTATTAACAATGTACTTAAATATAAGTCAGAAAATAAGTAGCTACATATTGAATTAATATTTAGAAGAACAAGTCATAGAAAATGGCCTTCGCTGAAATTTCTATTAAAAATAGTGATACTCTTTTGTATTCATTATGTTCCATGACACTTAATTGCATTAATGGTCTGAATATTTAAGCTTATTTTGAAAATCATAGACAAACAGGAAGCTGCGAAATTAGCACAGAGAGGCATGTGTACCTTAAT